AACCGAACATTGTTTGCGGGAGCTCCAAGAGATGGGAGTGCTGCCAAGATATAACAAGTAGCCAGTGGTTGAAACATAATCATCTTTGTCACCAGCCCAGTCTGCGTCCGAATATGCATGAAAGTTCAGCGAAGCTATTGCCGAGATGAAGATTCCTTTGTCACACGAGCCTGCCAGATAGCAGAGCACTCTTTTGAGTGCAGACCAATGCACCATTCTTGGGTTCTGCATGAACTGTGCAAGTTTGTTGGTGCTGAAGGCGATGTCTGGGCGTGTAAGACTCAAGTATTGAAGACTTCCAACTAGCGTTCGGTACTCAGTTGGGGAAGGCAGAAGATCACCAGAATCCTTGAGTAATGGAATAGTTGCAGACAATGGAGTGGATGCTGGTTTCGCATCTGCCATACCTGATTGATGTAGTAGATCGGTGATATGTTTTCTTTGTGAAAGAAACATACCCACAACGGAAGGAATTACTTCGACACCCAAGAAGTAGTTGAGGCATCCAAGATCTTTCAACGAGAAGCGAGCAGCAAGTGTGGCAATGAGGCTGGATAATTCTACAGAAGAACTCCCAGTGACAATTATATCATCAACATATACTAATAAGTACAAAGTAACACCTGGTTTTTGGTGGATGAATAAAGATGCATCTGCAGTTGAATTAACGAAACCAATGGAGAGCAGAAATACTCGAAGTTCTGTATACCAAGCGTGAGGTGCCTGCTTCAGCCCATAAAGTGCCTTTTTGAGGCGACAAACATGATTAGGGAAGGTTTTGTTGACAAAGCCAGGTGGCTGCACCATAAAGACTTCCTCTTTGAGTGTCCCTTGAAGAAATGCATTATTGACATCAAGCTGACGGATGGACCACCCTTGACGAACTGCAAGTGTTAGAACGATTCGAATAGTCACTGGTTTAACAACGGGGCTGAATGTTTCTGTATAGTCACAACCGGGGCGTTGGTGAAACCCTTTGGCAACTAACCGAGCCTTGTAACGATCAATTGATCCATCTGGATTCCGTTTGATTCGAAAGACCCATTTACAACCAACCAAATTTTGAGCAGAGGACCTACTTACAAGATCCCAAGTGTGGTTGTGGTGTAAAGCATCAAATTCGGCTTGCATGGCTGAGCGCCAATCAGGATCACGAAGAGCCTGAGTGATGGTGTTGGGTTCAATGGGAGAGGAGGATCGAACATGTAGGTTGAGCTTTGTAAGAGGTTTGATGATGTTGTTTTTAGACCGGGTGATGATCCCACCAGCATTGGTTTGTTGTCTTGGGTTTGGGTTGATGGGTGGTGAAGAAGGTTGGGGGGAGGGTTGTGAGTTTGAAGGGGAAGTTTGAGTAGTATTGGTGGGTTCATTTGAGGTTGATGTTTGAGCCAAATCTGGTAAGTGGGTGACAGATGGAGTGGTATGGGCAGCGGATAAGTTTTCCGGTGGGTTTAGAGTGGTATTGTCAATAGGTTGAGCTAGGGGCGGTAAAATAGAGAGTTGAAGTGGGCTTGTTTGTGGTTCTGTATGTGAATTAGATTGAGCTACCAGAGAGCTGTATGGGAATTTGGATTCCACGAACTTCACATGGCGAGAGGTATAAATCCTTCCAGTTGTGGGATCGAGATACAAATACGCGTGTTGATCCACCGAATAACCTACAAAAACACACATAGCAGACTTTGGTGCAAGTTTATGGTTAGCATATGCTTTAATCCATGGAAAACACAAACATCCAAAACATTTTAATTTATGATAATCCGGGCTAATGTGGAGTAATTTGGAATAAGGTGACTTGTACCCAAGAATTGGAGTTGGGAGACGATTTATGAGGTAGGCTGCAGTAGTCTTGGCGTGAGGCCAATAGGTGAGGGGCAAGCCCGAATGGTGAAGAAGAGAGAGGCCGGTTTCGGCAATGTGACGATTCCGGCGTTCAGAGATTCCATTGTGTTCAGGTGTATGAGGTGGGGTGTTGTGGTGACTTATACCATGAGTTCTTAAAAATGGACGAAGTCCAATGTATTCACCACCATTATCTGTGTATAAGATTTTGATTTTGTGCTGATAAAAATTTTCAACTAGTGATTTAAATTTGGGAAATATATTTTGGACATCAGATTTGTGTTTTATTGGATATAGCCAGATATAACGAGTAAAATGATCCACAAACATGCAATAGTAACGAAGACCATCAATAGATAAAACAGGAGAAGTCCATACATCTGAAAAAATTATTTCTAATGGATAAGAAGATTTAAGAGTGGATTCATGAAAAGGAAGTTTGTGACTCTTACTAATTTGACATGAATTACAATCGGATTGTGGGAATTTATTTGAACCCAAAGAAAAATGTTGTTGAATAAATTTAAAGATAGAGGATGAGGGGTGCCCAAGCCTATGGTGCCCTGATGCAGAGGATTCCGCGCGGACGGTATGGACAGATGGTGGGGAGGTGGGCCAGAGATAAAGTCCATCCACACATGAGCCCTTATGGGTTATTTGGCCTGTCTGCAAGTTCTTTACATGAAAAGAGTTTGGCAGGAAAACAACAGCAGAGTCAGTCTGTTTGGTAAGTTTAGAGACAAAAATAATTTGTTGTTTCATGGAAGGAACACACAGAGCATTAGACAAGGATAAATCATGAATTAAAAGTGTTCCAGAATGAGAGATGTTTAAACCTGAACCATTGCCCATGAACAGCGAGTCAGGACCAGTGTACGGATGATGAAGTGCCATATTTGCAAGATCGTTGGTTACATGATGTGTTGCTCCACTATCAACCAAGAAATCAGTATGAGATGGACCAGCAGCTGCAATGTTAGCCTGAGCCGATCCAGTGTGAGCAATAAAGTTTCAAGACGGTGGCGGGATACCAGGATGTTGCTGCTTGAAGAGTTGGCACTTAGATAGAACATGTCCTTTGACATTGCACCACTGACAGCGTCCAAGAAACGGTTTACGATTGCTGGTGTGTTGATTAGACGGTGCAGGGAATTGACCAGACCGAGGCTTGTTGTTATAGTTGGGTCGAGCCTGAGCATTCAAAGCTGTAACCGGGGCAGGAGTTTGTCTCTGAGCAGCAACAATAGAGAGTTCTTGGATGAGAAGTTTCTCAAGGAGATCATCAAAGTTAATTGGGATATCCCTTGCGTTTATTCCATCAATGACTGCTCTGTAGCCGTCGTCGAGACCACGCAAAACATGGTCAATCATGTCTTCAACCGAAACAGGAGATCCGAGTGAAGCAAGAAGGTCTGCTGTTTGCTTCAGAGAGTGCATATAGGTTGTGATGGATTGGGTACCTTTGGAAGCCATTCGAAGACGCTCTTTGAGTTGCTTGAGATGGCTGCGAGAGGCCTTGGCATATGTGTTTTTGAGAAGAGTCCAAAGACTATGCGAAGTCTTTGTCTGAGACACTAGAGAGGCCACTTCATTGGAGAGAGTGGTGAGGATAACGCCATAGATGAGGCGATCTTGTCGACGCCATGTTTGATAAGCAGGATTTGTTGTCGTCACTGAGGGTGTTGCAGTGGTAGAGATCGTTGCCGGAGGCGCGGGGAAAGATCCATCTGGATATTTTAGGAGATCAAAGCCATCAAGGAAAGCTTCAAATTGGAGTTTCCAATTAAGATAATTGGTGGGAAGAAGCTTGGTGACACTGCTAAGAGTGATGCACACAAAGGGTTTGGATGGCTCATAGGGGTTGGTGATGTAGTGGGAACTGTCGGAGGCCATGGGAGACGAGGTTGACAGCAGGAATGAGAAACGGCGTTCTGAATTAGAAGGATAGGGCTGAATCGTTTCCAACTGATACCATATGGAAAAGTGAATTAATTTCATTAGTTTACAGTAGTGTATATATACAAGTTTGATAAACCTAATTTGGAACAAATCAAGGTAACAAATCTCCTATTGATTTTCCACTAATGTAGCTATTAACTTTTGACTACAAACTAGGTAAATAACAGATTTGTAAATCGGCATAATTAAAGGAATTTTAAATCTAATTATTATTATTGATATCCTCCCGCAAGTTGGATAATTTGTAAGAGAGATGCAACTTGGACAGTAAAAACTCGAACCGTGGGCGAAGCAGAGGCTTTGTTAGAATATCAGCAAGTTGATCATCAGTAGAGACAAAAGATACACGAAACTTGTCATGTTGAACGTTTTCACGGACAAAGTGATAGGCTAAGGCTATATGTTTCATTCGAGAGTGGAATACAGGATTAGCACTTAGATGTGTGGCACCGAGATTGTCACAATATATTACCGGATTACCGGTTGGAGTGTGACCAAGTTCCGTAAATAAGGAAAAGACCCATAGTAGTTCACTGGCTGTGTCAGCCAAGGCTTTATACTCTGCTTATGTGAATGATCGAGCAACCGAACGTTGTTTGCCGGAGCTCCAAGAGATGTGAGTGCTGCCAAGATATAACAAGTAGCCAGTGGTTGAAACATAATCATCTTTGTCACCAGCCCAGTCTGCGTCCGAATATGCATGAAAGTTCAGCAGAGCTATTGTCGAGATGAAGATTCCTTTGTCACACGAGCCTGTCAGATAGCGTAATGTTAATTAAGATAAAAAAATGTTAAGATAAAAAAACAAGCAAGATTTCCTTTCGAACAAATGTTAATTAAGTAAATAAAAAACAAGCAAGATTTCCTTTGTATAAGATAAAAAAATTAGTATGCTAATAGACCTTACTATATAATTTTGGATTCCGTGGATGCAAGAAAAGAAAAAAGAAATAATTACACATTAAACTAAGAGCTAATCTTACCACCCAAAAGGCAAAAGAGGTGAGAGAATAATCCTAAATTGTACAAAATAAGAATGAACGTGGCACAAAAAATAAAAAGCATGTTAAATGATTCAAGTAATATTTTTCATGTTTATTATAATAATGGATGGCGGGCTTCACAATACTGTACATACCATGCCATTATATATATGTGATAAACCAAGTATCTTCATTCATAACTTGACACTACTCACCATGGCTTTTTATCTCAAAAACATTCCAACTGAGCAACTATTCTCTCTTGTTTCACTCATCTTTGTCTTGTTAGCCATATATATAAATTCAGTTGAACCACTTTCCTTCAATTACAACAAACTCACCCTTGGTAATTCTGGTGTAATCCTTCAAGGGGATGCCCATATTTTAGAAAGTGGTTACTTGGCACTGACCAACAGTACACCACTTCCTCCAGATACATATTTGCCAACAACAGGCCGGGCCTTATACCCAACACCTTTGACCCTTTGGAACGATACTACTGGCCAAGTTGCCAGCTTTAGCACTTCCTTTTCGTTCATTGTACAATCCCAAGAAGGAGGTGGTGCAACTGACGGATTGATCTTTTTCATTGCACCACAGAACACTGTGATTCCCGAAAACTCAGACAGTCTATATCTAGGAGTAGTTGATGGTAAAAATGCAATAAATCAATTTGTTGGTTTAGAGTTTGACCTTTATCCCAATTCTTTTGATCCCAATATGAGACATATTGGAATCGATGTCAACTCTTTAATTTCGCTCAAAACTCGTGAATGGAACTGGGTGAGTGGTTCATTGACAACAGTAAGTATAACCTATAACTCGCCTTCTAACAAATTGAGTGCTCGTGTCCGTTCTGAGACTGGAGAACTTTCTAGCATTGAACAAGTTGTTGATTTGAAAACTGTGCTTCCCAACATTGTTAGGATTGGTTTTTCTGCAACTTCAATAACTGCTGTAGCACACAACATCCATGAATGGGCCGTCCATGAATGGTCATTCGGATCAGACTTGGGAACAACTACAAGCAATGTCTCAAACATATGAATGAATTATTTTATTATTACAGGCTATGCTTGCTTATTAGAGCAGCTTGTAGTAATGAACTACTTTTTCTAAATAATGACCCTGCTTACTAGCAGCTTGTGCTTACGTGATTTCTTTTTAAATAAAGACTACGCTTCAACCATGTTTCACTAGGAAATTGTACAAATGTGAGTAATCCTTAAATATTATGTTGTCTAAAGTTGGCTCTTGCAATTTAGAACTGGCCACAAGTAACATCAAATATTGGTGACCTTGCATGGAATATCTTTGATCGTGATAAATGGCTCTTGCTTCTCAGAAGTAGCCACAGGATGACATCAACCAGTGACACCCTACATCATCTAACATTGATATTTTGACTACTATTTTGGAAGCATTACATTACACCTACTGTTAGGAAAATGATCTAGCCGGTTTTAACACAAGCTCCATTTTAGATATATTCCTATCGTTTTATTTCAACATGTATTCACCGTTAAAAAAAATGACATTCGAGAAAAGGTCTTCATCAGGTATAAAAATATATAATATAAAAAATAAAATTAAAAAGATTTTATATCAGGTATTTATTTTCAATGATATAAAAAATATTAAATTTTTTTTTTGCTGACTATTACATCGATCCAATTAATCCACCGATGTAAAATATTTTGTAAAAAAAACACGGTGGCAATATTGTAAGTAAAAAACTAGGTGGCAAATTGGTAAATAAAAAACACGCAAAACCTTATAACGGGCCTTGCGAACCACCGATGTAAAAAACCAGAAAACCATTACATCAGACCTTTCGTTCCACCGATGTAAAAAACAACCATTACATCGGTTATTGATTAGAACCGATGTAAAAACATGATTCTGAAATAACCATTACATCGGTTATTGATTTCCACCAATGTAAAAAATATAATATATATTTAAGAAATAAACTCTCACTGCTGTACATTTCGTTATTTTCTCTTCAAAACCCTCAGCTCCGCCTACGAACGATCTCTGCCCTCCGCTCCGCCTACACAGTCTATCCGTCCGTCTCCGCCCTCTGCTCTGCCTACACCATCCGTCCGTCTCCGCCTACGATCGCCCTCCGTCCATCTCCGCCTACGAACGTCCTTCACAGGCCGCCATTTTCCACCATGCACGAAGATGGCCTCGAATCTCCGGCCGTCACAGCCTGCCGCCGTCTTCGAAACCCCCTCCGCTGTCTAACTACGATTCCGGTAAGAAATTTTCTATTTTATTCAACTTCATTGTATATCTATGGATTTCTAAGAGGTATATATATACAAAAAAAATTTTAAGATATTCTTGTTGCTTTGCTTGCTACTGAGATACATTATAAAAAATTAGAAGTACATATAAAAACAATTAGAAGATTATACTAGATACTAACTCAGTGGCTTGGTGAATCCATTCCTTTGTTCATATCTGTTTATTAATTACTAAACAATTTATTATTCTTAGAGAGGTTAATTAAGTCTAATTAGTTATATATGTTGTGTATATGTCATTCTTTTTCATCAGAGAAATTATCTCTTTAGAAACCTCCGAAAGAAACGTTAATGGTCCTCTCAGAAACACACAGTTTATCTTTAACCTATCAAACTTAATAGAGTTATCACCTTGCCATTGAAATTTGATTCTATTTTTCTTTATCCGCGAAGCAACGTAACTTGTGATCTTGGAATCTCTGTGAAGTAGCGCAGCCGCGGGCACACCCTTCGTCAGACCTTCCTCCGTGTGAACATAGTTATGGATCCACTACACCAAATTTGTCTTTTAGCAGCACCCCTACTAAAGCGCTTTTTGTAAAAAGCGCTGGTATAGGTTGCGCTAAAACAAAATAAAAAAACACGCTAAAAAAGCGCTCTTAAAGGGGGGGGGGGGGTTACAAAAGCGCTTTCAGAAAGCGCTCTTAGAGGCTGGGGTACGAAGGCGCATTTGAAAAGCGCTCTTATAGTGGGGGGGGTATGAAAGCGCTTTCTGAAAGCGCTCTTATAGGGGGCTTATGAAAGCGCTGATATAGGGGGTGGGGTACAAGAGCGCTTTTATCCTCAAAAGCGCTGGTATAGCCTTAGTTACGAAAGCGCTTTTCAAAAGCGCTGTCATACCCTCTTTACAATTAAAATTTTTTAAAACAAAATTATACTAAACGCGTTCTTCGTTTCCAAATCCCTAATTTCTGCTGAAAACGCACAAAATCTTGCATTCTCAGAAAACTCACAAAATCGTTTCCAAATCCCTAATCGTTGAAAACTCACATCGTTTCAATCGTTCTCCGTTCTCAATCGTCTTCTTCGAAAGAAAAAAAGCTTGGAATACTTAAGGATCAAGAGCTTGCTTCATCAAGTCGTCTCCAATATTTCATCATCATCTTCTTCCTAGAGGTGAGTTCATAGTTAAATTTTAGCTTTGAGAGAAAAATCCATGGTTGGGAAGTTAGGGTTTGTGTTGTTGTTGTTATGAACATGAAACTTGATGACGATACATGCTTACTTGTGTGATTTCATGTTGAATGTGTTGTGGTGTTGGTATTATAATTATTTTGGATTATGTTGGAATCATGAGATATGTTTGATTGTTGTTGATTCTTGAGAGTTTACATGTGGATTTCACTAATGTTAGAATATGGTTAGGGTTGATGGGGATGGTTTAGAAATGATTTGTATGTAGAAAATTGGGTATTTTTAGCCTAGTTGTTGTGGTAATCAATTACCACTTGGTAGTATTCGATTACCAGCTTAAAAATTGGGTTTTGGATTGTTTTGAGGACTGATAATTGATTACCACATACTGGTAATCGATTACCACTGACCATATGGAAAATTACCAAATTGAAAATGATGTGGCTTGAGTTTCATAACTCTATTTTGGACGCGGTCGGAAGCGTTAAAAAGCTAACACTGAGGGATATTACATAGATAAGTTTCCATGAGTTTATTTAAATTTACTTTTCCCGTTGAGTCTGGTTAACCCCATCATAGGATGATTCGATAGGCGCTTACTATGTGGCGTGAAAGTGGAATAAGTTAGAATGAGACGAGTCATATGATGGCTCTGCCTAAGGTTTATAGGGATATGTTAGACTATCATGTGTGTTTCATGTATGCTTATGATTTATGCAATGGATTGGTTCCTTGTGTCCACCATAAAACAAGAATCATATCTGATTATTGTGAGGTCGAATATATTAGAAAGTTAGTCAAATGCCTCGTCAATTGATGAGAAGAAATCATGATTGAGCCATGACTAATGTTTGGGTATTGGTAATGAATTGGTTATGTGTGTTTTTGAATCATATTATGAATTGTTGTTTGTGTTTATTGAATGATAATTGAGCAAAAACTATGATGAAAAGTGAAGTTAAATCTAGATTTGTACTAAGTGAATGACTTAGAAAGATAACTTAGGTAATGAAAATGATTTAGGTAGTGTGGCTTGGACGCAATGATACCTCGGTGTGTATCACAGACAAGTATTCGCTTGATTTTAAGAATAGTTGAGCATATTTTAAAGTTGTTGTGTTCTCTTGACAGTTGTTTTAAGATAAGTTGTCGACTAGACAAAACTTACTAAGGCGCAAAATCCTCTAAGATTATAGTTTTGGAGGGTTTTCAACGTGCAGTGGGCAAGAGAAGTCAACAAATTACCTCTTTATTTTTTACGAGGTTATTTGTACCATTTGGTATAGAGTTTTTAGGCGAGTAGGAAAGTCGATGCCTTTTCCACACTCGAATACCAAGGATTTTGATTTGTTCTAGAGTTTTGGTTATAGGAAACATACCTCTTTAGACTTGATTTCGATATGATATTTTGTAGTCTGAATTATTTAGAAAATATGAAACAAAGTTATTTTTATAGGGAAACATTGACGGTTAATTAGTGGATGTTGATGATAATTAGCTTGACATGGAAATACATTCAAGGCCATGTGTCGGATTTGGTCATTTCTCTGATTGAATGGATCAGTAGACCTTCTTACTGACACTATAGAAGGTACGGTTTCTTTTGAAGTTTTCTTTGCAACTCATTTGTCGATGTATTCTATTTTGATTTTGAATTTCATTTCATCTTTCAGGGGGAAGGAAACCTTCAGTTGCTGCTATTGATGGTCTTGCCCTGGGTGGAGGGTTAGAGCTTGCGTGGTTTTGAGAATAAAGTTTTGGTATTGCTTCTCAATCGTCTTCCATCTTTGCTGCTGCTTTTTGCTGTTTTGCTATTTGAATTGAATCTACTCACATCTTCGTCTAAGGTGATTTTCATTATTTTATTATTATGCCTTACAGTGTAGCTTTTTTGGTGAATATCATTATATTATATATCTTTTTTTGAATTTCTTTTCAATATGCTTGAAATAGATAGATCAATCAATGTCTCTAATATTGCTCTTTAGATATTGTTTAACATCCAGCATATGGCTTAGTAGTAGTAAGCTTAGATGCTGAGTTTGTATAGTTAAGAGTGTGAATCTGCTGAAATTAAATGCTGAGTTTGTATAGTGAAGTGAAAATATGGATTAAGGGATAAAATGTGTATAATTGATATTGATATAACTGTAATCATAGTAATCACTAATTACATCCTAACCCCCCAAAAACTTTCTATCATTGTTATTTTTACTTTATATTTTTTTATGTTCAAAACATTTTTCAAACAAAGCTCTTGTTTGCTTAGAATAGTAATTATTACATATAAATTGTATTATCATCTTTCCTCGTGGACTCATAATTTTAGTCATTGTATTTTGATATTTGTTGACACATCTACTACACATACAATAAAAATTTTAAACAAGACTATCAAAAATTAAGTTCAAACTTAAAACATCTTTTTATTTAAAAGAGATTTCTTACAATTTTAATTTCATATATTTATCTATCGTTAAGTGAGGTACTTACTAACTTTGTGAATTGAATTCGCCATAGGGGTTACTTGTGAAGAGTGAAAGTTTGACCGTTTTTGTTTAGCTTAATTAAGACATGGATAAGACATGGATGAATTCAAAC